TATTTATCATCATATCAATACACCGTTTGGTCATTTTCCTAACTCCAACTGAAGACTTGACCACATAAGCACAGATTTCGTTGGTCTACTGCCTCCTTCCGATAGTTTCATCTACATTTCCAGTTGCATCGATAGATTCACTAGTTGGCCAGTAGCAGTTTCTCTAGCAGACGAATCCACTGAGACAGTTGCTAAATCTCCGGTCGAAAACTAGGCAGTGAACTTTGGTATTCCGTCCATTATCAATCATCACAGACAGAGGTGGACAGTTGAAAAGTTGTCTATTTCAACAGCTCACTGAATTACTGAGAATTACACGAATACGAGGGAAAGAGTATCACCGTGTTTGTAATAAGATGATTGAATGATTTCATCGCGAAATCAAGACTGCACTTGCTGCTTCTCCGACCAAATATAACATGAGTTGTATTTCGGATAGAATAACTTTGCATCACACGATGTACTGTCTACGAGTATTTTACTTGATGATTCTATGCATGGAGTAAATATTTGGCAGAATATAACGCTGAGAATTCCACACTGTGTTTAAATATAATTACCGAAATATAGCTGATACCATTATCATTATTACTACGATTAATATTATTATTTTTTATTACCATGGTGCTCAGAGTAGGCAGGCACAATCAATGAGATAGAAAAAAGTTAATTGAGAGCTGATGATGACTGACTGGTATTAGTATCATCATCGACAGATCGTCTGAAGCACGCATAGCACAGAATCGTCAGGTGCTCTTGTTATGTGGTATTTACCATTTGTACAAGGTATTCAAGTAATTTAATAATTCGCATTACATAACTTCAAGCAATATCAATCAATGCAAACTTTGCTTCATTAATACGAGAAGTTATTTTCCTCCATTCCCTCGATACATTTGATAGAGGTGAGCCGAAACCCGTTTTGAAAATGTGCGTGAGAACAGACTATGAGTTAACCACGCAGTTGGATAGTCAAGACAATATGCAATGCAATAAGTATTGGTTATCTTAATGAACGATAGAAATTTGGTAGCTCAGTGATAATAGTAGGCCATCAAAATATGTCCATTCATGATTCAGCAGACATTTCTTACTGAGACAAATAATATTTTAGTGAAAAGTCTGTTCCTGTGCTACAGTGGTAAATTGGATTATTATAATTATTACTGCTTAATCATCCGTAGCACCTATTGTGTTCAATCGAAGCTTCTTGAGAAATTCATTACTCAACAGTTCGTAAGTACATGAAAGGTAAGTGTTTGTCATGTGAAAAACATCAGTTGCTTCATGATTTCTTCTTGTTCATGATAAGACATATGTCGATTATCTTCACGTAGTGGAACGCCACCTCTGTGATGGATAAGTGTTTATTATAATTAGGTTAATTACTGTCATCTGACAGTGTTAGAATGTGGTTGGCGTATATCTGATTGCTTTCTTGTGCAGTGCTCGAAATATCTTGATTAGCCTCATGACAACGTGATCAAACTGAGCATTGAGTAATCGAATTTCGTATTCCTAAGGAAAAATTTATTTTGTCTGTAGTGGCTACCACGATGTTCTGAACGCATGACCTGTTGTCGATGAACCCATTTTAACAACCTGAAATGATTGAAGTTTAATTTGAAAAGAAAGGAATCCACTACTTGAGTCATACATCGTTTCAATATACATCATCAGAATTTGTATTGTCTGTTGCAGAAGCATATGCATATTCCGAATTGATATTTCAAAGTAATCAACAAGGTTCGGGGAAAAAACATGTACACTTTACTGGAAATATCCGCGTGTATGGACTGTTTACGGAATCTCTTGAATAGAAGTGTTTGTTCAACTGTCCGTTAAATTAGAGAACATCGCTTCAAGAGGAAGTGAAGACGTGTATAGCGATTCATTAAGTCAGCCGAAAACTACTCCAGAGGACCCGGTGAGGTGGACATGGGCTGTTAAAGCCCTTAATTCCACTGGAAACCCTATTCAATAATGAAACGTAATAAATAATAATAATAATAATAATCGATATTTGCCTTCTGAATTCGAAATAAGTATAATATATACATTTATTAATAATGAAACCGAAAAGCGAAATTGGTACATTGTTTAAAACAAAACAGAATAGAACAAGTAATTCAACAAAGATGATTACAATTTACTGTCGAAATGAGAATGGTGTGATGTGAAACCGAAAGTGAATGAGAGTGATTCACATACAAATGTGATTCACATACAAAAGTGATTCACATATACAAATCTGGTGTCAATCAAAAATAAAAGATTAAAGAATTATGTATTTAAGGAAACCAGTCCAATGAAAGCATCAGAAACACACACACATATGGTGGTATGATGAATTCGAATTTTGCTAAACGTGATATTTCGCTTTTCACTTAACAGTTACTAAAATGTTCCACTCTCATTTTGCAATAGACAAGAGTATGTACAGCGAAAATAAGAGATACAATTTCATCAAAGTTTGATTTAAATATTTACTGACTGATAAAATAAAGTACAATATTTTTATGCACTGAGTCATAAAATTTACAATCATAACTCTAACAGAATTCCAGTTTAAAGACGGTTCACTTTGAATTCTCGTCTCTTATCAAGGAGTATCTACAAGCATGCTTTCGTATTGAGGGAGAAAAAATAATATGTGTTAGGCAAAATTATGAAAGAGTGCTGATATATATATCTCTTAAAAGTGAATGAACACGTTTGATTTGACTTTCTCCTCATTCTTCAGCAGACAAATCTAGTAGTTGAAGGTCTTTGTTGTTTTCATAGGCGTGTTTATGTCGGAAACATATTGAGTGTTAACGAAATCGCAGAAATACCAATGTTTTTACTTGGAAGGACTAAATGCGCATCCTGGATTCCACTGCTAGCCACCATCCACCAATTGTATACTAATTGAAGGAGATTCTTGTTTATTTCTCCAATAAAAACATTTACTTCCCGATGTGAATTTAAAACAAGCAATAAAGGTAAATAAAGCAGGATTTAATGAATTCATCAAATTTACGTTTAACTCGTCAGCTGAATACTCTACCTACACGGATATATTTACTTTTGAAATTACGTTGGGAGATATAAGACTGATAAGTAAACAAACTACATTGAATTAGTTATGCAGAAAGACAAATTCGAATGTTTTCCAGGTCATGTTCAAGTAGATACGGAGAGTGAGATTATGAGAGGTCAAAATTAAGATAAATTGCACTGCGCTTCGATTACATCACTTAGATAAACAATGTCATTAGCGAATATAACAAGAATTGCAAACGGACTACTATCAATAATAATAATAGTTATAATAACAATAATAATAATAGTGTTAAAGTGAGTTAACATAGTCCTACTGATAAAGCATAGTTTTAAATGAATCAAGAATAATAATGATAATAATAATAAGAGGTAGAATAATAATAATAATAAGTAAAGAATAATAAGTAAAACGTATTACTATGGTAGATTCAGAGTCACGACCATCTCCCTTTGTACATGCGGTTTGAAGTGTCGAGGATTGGCGACTGGCGTTTTCCAGATTGTTGAAGCTGTTGTTGAGGTGTAGGATTGCTAAAACGAAAATGAATGATGGCACAATCGAAAGATCTATAATTAGAAAGTCTTCATGGACAGGACAGTACATGCATTTCAAGAGCTTTGTTCTAATTCAGAATAAAAAGAACTTAGTTAGAAAACTGTTCAATAGAGCACGAAAAATCTGTTCTGACAGTACTATTGAGCATGAAGTAAAATCTCTGAAGGATATTTTGTCTAAGAATGGATATCCTGAGAAGTTCATTAATAAATACTCTACATAAATTACCCCTTGCTAAACAATCCAAACAGTTTCGAGAAACCTGCCTATATCAGTTTGCCGTTCAAAGGAGATGACGTACAGGAAGTAGTCAAACGAAGACTCGAGAAAGCCATCAAGAGATCTTATTATGCTGCAAAACGTGTTATCCTTAACACCACGAAGCGCGTGCTTCAACAGTCTGGGAAAGACTAGTCGCCAATCCTCAACACTTCAAACAGCGTATATCAATTCGAGTGTGCTTGTGGAAGCAAATATGTAGGTCGTACGGAAAGGCGATTGTCTACTCGCATGATGCAGCATTTGCCAAAATGGTTGAAAACAGCTGAGTGCAAAGTCCCAAAATCCTCAATAACAAAACATCTTGTGAATTACGGACATGATATCGACGCTGTCATGTCATTCACTATTGTCAACAGACAAAGAAACAAGAAGACGCTTGCAAATACATAGGCTTGCGCAATTCAAATTCATAAACCAGGTTCTGTGTAAAAAAGATGGTTTTGACTCTGAATCTACCATAGTAATACGTTTTACTTATTATTCTTTACTTATTATTATTATTATTCTACCTCTTATTATTATTATCATTATTATTCTTGATTCATTTAAAACTATGCTTTATCAGTAGGACTATGTTAACTCACTTTAACACTATTATTATTATTGTTATTATAACTATTATTATTATTGATAGTAGTCTGTTTGCAATTCTTGTTATATTCCCTAATGACATTGTTTATTTAAGTGCGTCGGTGACACAGTGGTTAGGACTCCCTCCGACATTCACATGGTCCGAGGTTCGATCCCTGCCGACGCACACCTGATACCTATGGTCAGCCTGCAAAATTTGAGCTACCCATGTCCATGCTGAAAATTCTATACATGTACTAAAAATACAGTGTGAAATCAAGCTGTAATCAAAAATAAATAAATAAAGTAATTAAAGCGTAATGCAATTTATCTTAATTTTCATTTCTCATACTCTCTCTCCCCTATCTATTTGAACATGACCTGGAAAACATTCGAATTTGTCTTTCTGCATGACTGATTCAATGTAGTTTGTTTACTTATCAGTCTTATATCTCCCAACGTAATTTCAAAAGTAAATATATCCGTGTAGGTAGAGTATTCAGCTGACGAGTTAAACGTAAATTTGATGAATTCATTAAATCCTGCTTTATTTACCTTTATTGCTTGTTTTATATTTCTCCTTTGATAGTTGTTGAGATTCAGCTGAAGGTGAAGTTGTTGATCGATCATTGTCAGATATTGGTGATCCAAGTGGAGTAGACTGTCCACCTGAGGGTGGTATGCCAATCGGTTCAGATGAGTATAGAGATCCTGAAGGAAGGTGTGGTGCTAACTGAGAGGTTAGTTCAAGTGATGGCGATGGTGTGAATTGTGGTGATTGTCGGAGTGGTGGGGGTGGTGGGAATTGTGGTGGTTGTCGGAGTGGTGAAGGTGGTAGGAATTGTGGTGGTTGTCCGAGTGGTGGGGGTGGTCCAAATTGTGGAGGAGGTCCAAGTGCTGGGGGCGGCCCGAATTGTGGAGGTGGTCCGAATGCAGGTGGTGGTCCAAAGAATGGTGGAAACTGTGGAAGTCCATTCTCGTTTAACGGAATACCTAGTGCACAGCGTAAAATAATTGAAACAGGTTCAATTACATTCAAAATATGGAATTAAGTAATTTATTTTGATAAAAATCCTCACAAAGTTAGAACACCATTTATGTCAGTCAGACTATGTTATTCTCAGATAATTTCTCCAGAATAACTGCACAATTATTATTTGGAAAAATATACACAATAACAGGTTAACGGCTTCCGAGCGACTCAGTGTTTCTCTTTTTAGAAGTTCAAGAGATAATAAAGTTTCTTGAAAGAGTACTATATACGTCGGATGAAGAATATCAATCCAAAACACAAAATCAGTATCACTTTCATGAGCAACGCTTTGACGCCAAACTAATCTGTGCTAAATAGTCCTATAAAATCCATCAGAAGATACCCGCGATTTCCAACACACTCCTAAGAGCTTTCCGAAATGAACCTCAAGTGGGGGACTACAAGGGATATTTTCATGTGACTTCAAGCGTTTACTTGCAAAACCGATTCTAATTTTCTCGCTTGAGCATTTCAGCAGTAATATGAAATAAAGTCTGAATTTCATAAAATGTGTAAAACAGTGATATTGATATTATTTTTAAAATCATACGTTAACAAGCTGTAAAGTAGTGGCTGAGTCATATCTCGTTGTCTCCACGTCTTAATGTAGAAGATTAGATGGGAAGTATACTTGGAAATCGACGAGATACAGGATGACGAAGGAAGAGAGGTCAGGGGATAATTCTACTTCACGGTATTTAATGCTTGACTAAGTTTCTGTTTCAGTACCCTCTTCGCTGGAAACAGCTTTTGAAGCATCTACACCTTAATGTCAAGTTAATTGACTGAAATTTAGAGGTGTTGAAGCAAAAATCATTTAGCTTAGACCATTGTCTGATATCCGAAGAGTAGCTGTTAAGTTTGGAACAATCAGATCGAGACGTATTTGTCAGCGAGACAATGAGAGAGAATATTCCTGACTAAGTGTTTGAATGTTTGGCTGATTAAACTTCTATCGGCATACTACGCTTGATTAATCGTGTTTATGTGTTTTAATACAGCAAAGTAGGACATCAGTTCATATGTACGTGTAACAATAACTCAGTTCAAGCCGACTTACTGTTTATGTGAACATTATAAATGTCAGCACCGATTAGTAGAAACAAGAGGATACTTCGCATAATTTTCACACACTTTTCGCAGTAATCAACCAGATGAGAACAATTCTATGAAGAAAGAAGGAAAACAAGTTTGATGCGATGAACAGAATGAAAATACGATGATAATATCGCGTATACTTGTAATCCTCACTTCTTTGGTATATACTAATTTAACATGAAGGATGATTGAGGCTAAATGGAATCAATAATTATTTCTGGACCTTAAAAGCAGATTACCTATTGCGTGTATCGGACTCACAATGTCAAGAGAAATATACTTACGTAGACACATTAAGTAGTCAAAAGTTGGACAGGACAATGCAGACCGCATATGCTAATTATGTTGTAAAGTGTTAGAGATAGATACGTGCGTAATTTACAATTTGCCATTATAATTTGTGCATTTTACACTTAAATATTTAAGGACTGTTTCTCCAGCCATGAAATATGAAAGATGTTGGGAAGCAATGTTTATCGTCAAAGGTTCATGAATAATATTACAGCACCCGTGAGCAGAATATTGAGAACATGGCTAGCCAGAGCCTATCATGCAGCCAAGCTGGTTTCCATCTATCGAACAACTTGTTCTTTGGTACAGTCAAAAATAGACTGATATCCTTGTCACGTTAACTTCAATTGTATTTACAAATTTACATGTATCTGCGGAAGCAGTTACATTGTGAGAACAGAAAGAATGGCAAACCTACGATTTTCTAAACTTGTACTAAAGGGCCTATGTCTGAAGGGAACAGATGCTTTGAACAGTGCCCTCGCCAGGAATCTCCTTGACACGCGTCATGAGGTGGACTTCGAAAGATCATTCAAACCTATCAGTAGGCGAGGAACAGTGTTTAATTCTCCTCAAGTTTGCCGAAGCAATATCCATGAAGTGGGTTGAATCCGATTAATGAGTTGAGAAAGAAGCGAATGTCAGTGTTTCTTTTCACTTCTAACTCGACATTTTCATCCTGTCTTTCATCTGACTACACGTTGTCGAATGTTTCCATTGTGTTTGACCATTAATGTTCGGGATAAAGTGTTTATTATCATTACTAGCATTATATACATATAATGACTGAATAATTCTTGTTTAAAGATGAACTCTGCAAAGGATGTCAAGATTGTTTATATCCGTTTAATTATTGATGTCTTTGAGTTGTGAGCAGGTGATAAGAAGCCAACAAAATGAATGATGGTACCATTCTACTCTGCAAACACTGTTGTTCTTGCTTCGTTCAGATTCATAGAGCGTAATAAATGTTTGAAATAAAACGCCGTTTAATTAGGATAGTAATAATAACAATAATTATCAATAGTATATGCAAAAGTTAGGCTTACCAATTTCTCTAATGACAGATGAACTGATTAGATAAATATGACTGTATTATTTATGCAGTTTTTACCTGTTACTCAGTCTCAGTTTATTGTCACGTACACATCTTGATTTAATTAGGTCATTCGATAGCTTGTGTGACTGTTTCCAATCAATCAGATCGCTGATACATGATTAATTGTTCATAATGCAAACAGACAACATGAGTCATTCATTAGAAATAAATGACTGTCAACAGTGTAATGTCTTCGAATCAAGTGTCTTTTGTGATTTTGTTTCATAGTGCAGTTACACACTGTTAAACAGATAATTAAGCATGAAGTTATCAATCAAAGGCGTGGGTGGTGTTGAAGATCATTCAGTTGAGTGCTGTTGACCTGATACACAGTGGATGCTTTTTTAATACGTATTATCCACTTGATTTTGTAAAATGCTGTAGGCTGTATGTCTACGACAGATAAAACCTTTTTCTGTGAAACGTCTAATGAAATGTTCGAATGATGAAAGTAGGAGTATATTTGTGATGCATCAATTTAGGCTTCCATGTAAATACCATTAGTCCAATGAGTTTCTTCTTTAACTGGTCTTTATTAGAATACACAAAAGGCTATAGACAAAACAGCACATACAAAATGGTATGAAAGTTATACATACAACAAGAATGTGGGCATTGTAAGTGTTGTAGAATATTTTAAATGCCCAGTCGAATTATTTACTCTTATTATTATTGTTCCTTTGAATTCCGAATAGGATATGGGTCTTCAGGAACACAACTCCACTTTGTTGTATTTTCCACGGTCCCATTCAACTGGATTCTTGATAGACCAAACTCTCTCATCCCTTCCTCACACGATCCCCTCCGTGTGGTAGTGACACCGTGTGACGACCCACTCGTCGCTTCTCGATGGAATTCCACTCGGGAGATAGCCTGCATTGCACGCGATGTCATTCGATAGTAGCCTAAACGTGTACCCGATCCATCTCCATTGCCTCCTACATATTTATTGAATAATCGGGTCTTGCTCCGTTGGTCTGTTATCAGCCGGAGTTTTTTTGTTGCTAATCCTTTCTTTCTGGCTATTTGATCTTCAGTATGGAGCCAGCCAGTGAAGGTGGCAGATGTTGATGAAAGCCTGCGGTAGCCTGTTGGAAATCCTTATCGTGACACGCAGTGCAAGTTTCTCACCCGCATAGAAGACCTGACCGATTTCACATTGGTGTTGAAAAACTGAGTCGTGTTCCTTGTGATGAGTGTAGAAGATTACCAAGCTAGTTTCAGGTTGCTGAAAGCGTTTCTTGCATTTCCGACTCTGACTGGCCTTGACATGCTCATCAGTTCCGGCTGACTGTAGTTGAAATGCTGCTTCCTTGGCGGATAATTGAAGGAAGTAACATCTGTCACATTTCTCGTGTTGATGGTGATAGGTGCTGGTTGTTGTCGTTGTTGTGGTTCTTCGGTTATATTCACCAACTCCGTCTTCTCTATGTTCACGTGGAGTGCTGTATTCGCTGCTGGCCTCTTGACCCACTGTGTTGATCTTCACCTGCAAGTCTTCGAGGTTGTGTGACATTAGAGATACTTCATCGGTATGCGAAATCCAGATCGTCTAGAGTCTTCTTATCGTTGATCTAGTGTATTTCTGTCTTCTCACTATCAATGCACAGTCTAACGCATAATCCAGTCCACTACATTGAGGAATATCATCGGTGATATTAGAAAGCCAGCTTGTCTTACTCACTTCGGGCGCCTCTCTGAATTCCCGTTGGGGATCGACTGACACTTGACACTGTAATAGAGGCAGCTGTTGGATGAAGTTAACAAATCTTCGGACACTGTACGCCGTAGTGTTCAAGTATTTTTCAAATTACTTCTCGGTCTATGCTGTCTGTTGGAGGCGTTTTCGAAGTTGATGAAGTTGAGGTGGAGTGAGGCTTGACTGGCACTCTACTGGACTTCATCAGCTCGATTGCATTCGGGATTACTGCTTTCGTCGGAGCATCGGTATCTTTTGGCGGACAATACTGTGCGTGCTGTTAGTGGTATTTCTAGGTGACTTGCAGATGACGGTCGACTCAAGATTCCTGTAGAATGAATAGCCCATTGTTTTATTCGTTTCTCTTTTTTGGTTAAAGGTTACCTCGACCATCCTTTACAGTTTTCATCATCTGGGTTGATATTTCCGGATAGCGAGCAGCTTGGTCGTCCGATATCATGTGCTGAATGCACTTTTGCCTGTGGCCTACTTGGTCTGCATCATTTTACAGACAGTGTGTCCTGGAATTGTCTTCTGTCTTTCCTAGTTCTCTTCTTCACTTCACTATTCAGTGCAATGCACACTGACATGAATTACTCTATCCGTTGAGAGTATCCGTTGAGAGCCACTCCTTGTTTTGTGTTTTCTTTCTTCTTAGAACTGCTTCACATGTTTCCTTGAATATATGTCTCCTCCAGAGAGTTTCAGTGTTTTTCTATACATATCTCGTCGTCGGTAACACGTAGCCTCACCAACAGTGCTCTTATCTGATCTGTAGCGAAGGAATCCCTTGTAGTTTTGTCCTTCAGTTTCATGGTGTTGAACTTGAACTACAGTCTCTCTGCAGGTTTACTGAAGGATTTCACCTTCACCATCAAGGTTCCTTGAACTGGATGATGATCTGTGCCCACATCTTCTTCCATTCTCGAAAGTTGCGTCAAAAATTACTTCAGCAACATCGAGATGAAATCTAGCTGGTTTGTAGTATATCCATCAGGCGAAATCCATGTTGCATTGTGTATATCTTTGTGTTTGTACACGCTCCCTCCGATCACCAAATCATTGAAAGCACACAAGTCGGCGAATAATTCTCCGCTCTTATTCATTTCTCCGAGTCACAGCCTCTCGACCCATGATGAGTCCGCTTCCTGTATTATCTGGTCCCAGTTAGCTGGCATTTATATCACCCATAAGGATTTCGATGTCACCATTCGGGATGTTGTGCACTACTGCATTTAGTTGTCTGTAAGAATCCTCATTCTCGTCTTGTTTCGCGATGTTTTTACCATTGGATAATTGTTACCTCTCTTTCTGTGTTTTGACTTGAATCTTGCTGTCATGATCCTGCAGGATGAAATCGGTTCCCACTGGATTAGGGCTCCAGCTGCCACTGGTGACATCGTGGTAGCCACTCACTGCCTCAGTGTGTTCGTAGTTGTCATCTGGGTGACCAGACTGGAGTAGATTACTGACTCTGGTTGACTGTTTCGATATTCCATATGCATTTCATCTGATCTCGCTGAAACCAACCACTTCTATGCGATATCTTCGCATTTCCTTGACTACCTGAGAAGCCTTACCAGCCAGTCTCGTATATTGTACGGACATTCCACCTACTCATTCTTATTCTTGCTTTCACAAAGAGAAGACACATCGGATGGCGGAGTGGCTGGCTAACTTGCTTCCCGAAGGCTGGCTTTCCCCAGCACGCTATGTCATTTTGCCTCTTCGATTTGAGAGAAGAATAAGATTTTTGTTGTTTGAATTTTTTGTATATTGAATATGTTTTTGTGCGTTGAAGTTTCTCTAGCGGTTTGATAGCTTTTGTTGTGTAGGCTTGTTAGTCCCGCATCCCACACTCTCCCTCTTCACCCGGACTTGGGGCCGGCTAGAAAAATAGCAAGATAGTTGACTAGGCGAGGTTTCAGCCGAATTGTTGTGAAAAATTTTATTATTCCATTGAACATTTTGGTTTCCTCACTG